TATTGAACATCGTTTCATTATTTTTGTTCACATGCGTTTTATATATTTTTTGCACACTCACACAGGCACACACAAAGGCACAGGGATACCTGCACACCTGTGAGCAAATACTACAGAGGTGATCCACTCCATGCCCCTCAGGAAGACAGCTGTCTGCAGTGATGAGGGAGTGGGAGGCAGAAGGTGTTCTGTGGTGTTCCAGAACATGTGTATCTTGCACAGCTAGAGGTAGAAAATTAGAAACACTCATCTCCCCACTCTAAAGTCTCATGAAGAGTCTGTTTACTGAATCCTTATTTCTCAAAGCCCAGCCAGCCCAGATCCCAGCTTGTCCACACAGTCTCTGACCACCTCACCTCTTCCTCTGGTCTACTTGATGCTGCATGTAAATTCCCCTATAGCTTTTCAGAAAAGCTCACTGCCCATGCAGGCATCATGGAAACGAGTCCCATGAGCCCTTAGAGAATCTGAGTATATGATTATGACCTCTCTGGGCCTCCCACCTCCCTTTCCTTCTGATCTTCCTCAGCACTCAGGCAGGCTGGCTGTAGGTGCTAGGTGTCTAAAGTGCTAGAACAACCTTGGTCTTTCAACCCCTCTCCCCACCTCCCATTCACAAATCTGCAGCCTGATAAGAATGTAGACTATGGAGCCACCAGTGGCAAGCTCTGTGACAATGGGCAAGTCACTAACCTTGTCTGTGCCCACATCTCCTCACCTATAAAATGGGATCTTCATGGTACCAATCCTAGTAGGGTCATTGTGAGGACAAGAGTCAAGGCATGTGAAGCACACAGAAGGGGCCTGGCTCTATAAGTGTTAGCTGTCATCTGAGATCCATAACCCCTCACCCACAATTCTCGGAAGTCAAAAATGCTGTGAAAACTGAATAATTCTTCAAAATACAACAACAAACTCTGGCAGCAAAATCTAAAATGATGGGAGGCTCTTTGCAATCTCTATTTCTATTACTAACTGTAGGTATTGATACATTTTGCTATAGAAATTCTGTGTTTGATTAGGGGTGCTTTAGTACGACTTTGATAAAATTCAAACATGTCTGGCCAGTTTGGGATCAGAGAATGTGGCCTGTGTTACCATTTCAGAGTCATGCTAACCCTCAGAAGCTCAGCTCATCACTTTTTCTCTGTTGTGCCCAAGGTGGTCCTCTTCCACTCACTGACATTCAGTGACAGCCACCAACCAGTCATTCTGACACTGGCCCATCCTAACAAAGAACCTCCCCAGGTCACAACTGCACATGCCTTGCTATTAAGTCAAGGCCACTAAACAGCCTGGTCCCGAGCCTTCCCCTACCCAGCCCCTGCCTAGGCACAGGCCACCCCATGTCCTGCAATGTCCTTTTCTAAGTCAAGAGTTACTGCATGTTGACCTCACCAAGTGCACCATGGCCAGGCAGTTGCCTAGTAAATTTATTCACCTTTGTATCCCCAGAAGCCAACACAGCTCCTGGCATGGAGTATGCACCCAATAAATACTTGCCAACCTGAACAAATGAGCAAATGGCCATAGCTGAGGGTACCTAATTCACCTCATCAGGCCTTCATTTTCATCTTCATCTTTTGATTCTCAGTCACTTATTCAGAATAGAACTAGGAACTCTTGATATACGACTGACCCTTACCAAAATATACTTATAAAGATTCTCTGAAACTGTGAGAAATAAGCCCACTTCCCCAATCAAAGGAGGGGCGAGAACACTCAAAACACAGTGAAGCAAGGCTTTAATCAACATTCTTGCCAAGACTGGGTGTCTGATGAATAGGCACACTCGGGCGGTTACAGCAGACAATTTACCTCATAGTGTGCAAGTCTGTCCTCTGATTCCTCATTGGCTGAGTACTACAGAGGTTACAGCCTTACCCAGAAGTCAACTATGCCCATGTAAGGCCAAAAAGTAGTCTGACTGGAACAAATGTACATGCCTTGAGGTGACACAGAGACTTCAGTTCTTTGGCGCATGCTCATTGCAAAGCCTGCAAAAATGAGCCCACAAAATGGAGAGGGATAACCAGGAAGTCAAGTGTCAAGGGTTTGGGACTCCATTGTGTGTGGGGAGCAGAGAGGGCGCAGGATTCATACATATTCCCAATAGGTTGTAAGCCTATTGTTAACTAAACAGCACAGCTTTTATTTGGTATTTCTGAAAATGAATCATCTCACTTACTTCTCACAGAAACCATGCACTGGATATGGAGAGTAGAAAGGAGTCTGTCAATGGAGTCAATTAATACAATGGATTCAACCAGGATGGAAAGGGTAGCTAAGCAGGAAGGGAGGCAGAAGCCACTTCTTCCTTTCAGCGGTTCTCTGGCTGTTCTCTCCATTCAGGCCCTCCATCCTCTCCCACATGGCTCCCCCATCCTTCCTGCCTTGCCTGACAGAACCAACAGAGAAATGGAACAAGAGTATGCAGTACCCCTACATGCTAAGCAAATTCTCAGCAAGAAAAATGCTCAGATACGGGGTGCCTGGGTGGCTTAGTCGGTTGAGCGTCCGACTTTCGCTTAGGTCATGATCTAGCGGTTCGTGGGTTCGGGCCCCGCGTTGGGCTCTGTGCTGACTGCCAGCTCAGAGCCTGGAGCCTGTTTCAGAGTCTGTGACTCCCTCTCTCTCTGACCCTCTCCTGCTCACGCTGTCTCTCTCTCTCTCCTAGAAATAAATAAAAATATTAAAAAAAAAAAAAAGAAAAATGCTCAGATAGAGGCTGTTGGGCAGCCACAATTAAGTACCCTATCACTTCCCCATTCATTTGGCAAGCATCAAAAGTTTACCAGGTGCTAAAAGTATGTGTGTACAATATTGCCATATAACAGGGTTACCAAGGAGAGAATGTGGGAGAGACTTGGATCTGCAAAACAGGATCTGGACCTAGTCAGGGAGGTCACAGAATACTTCCCTTAGGAAAGGTTGCTAGATGGAGATCTCCAAGAAGAGTAAGAATTCCCTGAGTAGACAGGGAACAGAATCCCATATACAGGGAATAGCAAAGAAGTAGAAAAGCAGAGGCAGTCAGGGCAGAGTTAGGGAATGTGAGGGAAAGGGTATGAGAAGAGGCTGGACCTGCCATTTCAGGGCCTTGAAGGCACCACTATCTTTATGCCACAGCAAAGAAAACCTTTATTTATTTTTGCCAACTTTTTAAAGTTTTTATTTTAAATCCAATTAGTTAACATACAGTGTTATACTGGTTTCAGATATACAATATAATATTTAACAATTCCATATCTCACCAGTGCTCAACACAAGTGCACTCCTTAATCACCATCACCTAGTTACCCATCCCCACAACCCCTCCCATCTGGTAACAATCAGTTTGTTCAGTCTGTTTCTTAATCTCTCTCTCTCTCTTAAGCAAAGGAAAATTTTTAAAGATTACAGGAAGACTATGACACAATCGCTTGTACATTTTAACAAGCTTATTCTGACTATGGTGCAGACAACTGAGTGAAGGCACCAAAGCAAGTACAGGTAGACAAAAAGCAGGATGATGGTTCCCATGGAGAAAAGTGGGCCAGCCCAGGGAAAATTAAAAAAGGAAATCATGTCTATATGGACTGCAGGGTAGAGCTGGGGGAAGAGCTGATGAGGGAAGCCTTTCCCAGGAATGGCTGAGTGGCTAGGGTAAGGTGACGTCATTCACAGGACCCGGGGGCACTAGAAGAGGCCCAGATGTGAGTGAGCTCAACCTACCTTATGTTCATACTGAGACAGAAACGCTTTTGAGATAACCCAGAAAGGTATCATGTAGGCCACAGGCTAAGCAAGTCTGGGACAGAGAAGTGGCCTGGGCTGGACTCATAAACGAGTGAGTTCTCTGAGGTTTCATGCTTTGCTCAGAACCACAACAATCATTGAAGCCACAGAGATCACCCAAGGAAGATGCCCATACTGAAAGAGAAGATGGCCAAGGGATTTGAGGACAGAAGGATGGAGGCCTGAGAAGTAGGAGGAGAACCAGGAGAGGCTGGCTAGGCCCAGGATGGGTCAAGGCACAGGGAATGACCAAGTGTCAAAGCTGCCATTCTCTATTGGGCCTGTCAGGGAGAAAGAAAAGACCCTTTGATTTGAGATCTGGTGCTTCCAAGGCCACTCTGAAGGGGAAAGAGCCTCTACTGCTTAAAATGTAAATTTGTCCAATGAGACAACTAAATGAAACTAAATCCTGACCTGAATCCTATACCACAGAAAAGAACTGGGCGACGAAAAATGGGCGACGAACAAACTAATCTGAACAGAACCTGTAAATGTTAGTGTCCTGGTTTTGCTGTTCTGTTAAATTAGATGTTAAAATTTGGGGATTCCAAGTAGATAGAATGAGAATTCTTTGCGCTAGTTTCTAAACTTTTTCTTAATTCTGAAATTATTTCCAAAAGATTTTTTTTAATAAGACATTTTACAAATGTAAATGCCTCAAAGTAGAACCACGTGCAAAACGGCTCAGGGAAAGCCTTTGTGAGACACCAACCCCCTCCCCTCTTCTTCCCCATTACAAAATCAAACGGGAAAAAAAGGAAAACAAAAGACACACGGCGACCGCAGAAGCAGGCAGAAGCACACATCAAGTCCCCGCGCATGGCCACCTCTCCCTGAAGGAGATCCCTCCCCTGAGGCAGCGCGGCCGGAGACCTACCCCCCAACAGGCCTCTCCGCAGCCCAGACTCCGCCCACAGGTGCCGACCACTCCACGTTCCTAAGTCCTGCTTCAGGGCACCCCCGCCCAGCCCAAAGGTTCTAGGTTTTCCCGTCCGAGTCCGCACCGCCCTCGGCCCGTCTCCCCGCCCTGCAACGGGAGCGCCTCCGTTCGGCCTTAGGAACCCAGAAACCCATTGTCCCTAAACCTGTCCCTCTTTCCCACCATCCACGCGCAGCGCTGAGGGCCAAAGCCTGGGGCGCCGTTGAGAAAACGCAACGCCAGGCCCCGCAGCTCCCGCACCCAAACTAGGGCAGGTCTGCAACGCGAACGGGCCGATACCTACCTGCGCGGCAGACCAGCTGAAGTCTAGCAGAGCTGCGCTGGACACAGCGCGCTGCAGCGAACCCCGGAGCGCCTGACCGCGCCCGCCTCGAGCGTCGCGGCCGCGCAACGTCCGGCACGAGAGCGCTCTCGGAACCTGGGCTCGCCTTCTGTGTCCCGCCCCAGTCACGCCTCCGACCACGCCCCCGACCCGGGAAACCACCGAGAGGCCAGGGCCTCCGCAGAGCCTAGAGGGAACTTGAAAGTTCCTCCGTGGGCGGGTCAGAGCGGCAGAAGTGTCCGCAGAATGTCCAGCTTGCTCGGTTCTTCTTGCTCCCTCCCGTGCTAGTCCAGGCAGGGGTGTAGTTGTTCTCCTGTTCACTGGAGTACGAGCCTTTTTTCTGTCTAGGATGGTGGTTTTCTAAACAGAATGAGTTAGGGGTCTCTGGAAAACTACAAACTTCGCTTTCTCTACATAAGAAAAGTCATTTTAAGACCCTGACTATCCTGTGAAAGAATTTAAAAACAGCCACTATCAGGCCAGAAGATACCCTAGTCGTGTAAGGGCAATACATCAGTGCGAAAACTCTCATTGCTAACTCAAAAGTGAAGATTGACCTGACACACATACTTGAGTTACCTTTGCAGGATCTAAACCACTTTGAGCACTCAGATTCAAGACCAACTGGAGCCACCGAATTGATAATGCTGACCTTGGCTGGACCTTGTGAGTTCCCCGTGGACTCAGTCAACTTAAGATGACTTTTACCCTAATTCCATGCTGTCTTCCCCATTGTGCAAGCCCTTTCATGAGTATGCATGCTCCCTTAGCTAAAAATTTATCCGATTTTATTGTTCAAGGAAACTGTGTTGGGAAAGACCCCTTGTGTTCTCCTTTACTTTTTGCACGTAAAACCCGTACTTTTCCTCTTCTTTGGCTTAGTTGTGTCTTTTGGCTCACATCTACCAAGAGGTAAACTTAATTTTGAGTAACAGTTCTCCAGACCTGGGAACTTGATAAAAAAGCAAATCCTGGAGTTCCACCCCAAACCTACTGAATCAGAAACTGAGGGCAGACCCAACATCCCTTGAAGTGATCCTGATTGATACAAAGTAGGTTTTGAAAACGGCTGATCTGTGACAACTTTTCTCAACCTCCACACTCTGAACATTTATGGCCTGGATAATTCTCTGTTGTGGGGGTCTATCCAGTGCATTATTGGTAGAGTCATTAGATAAACTACAAGGTGACAGAGAAGTTAAACTTGATTTTCAGGTAAAATAAGATTCAGATTTAATGTAGAGACCTGTATTTTATTTGGAGACACTACTGCATGTGTATTTTTATTTGCTAAATCTGGAAATTCTGATTGTAGAGTATTTGAACATCTCTGGCCTCTACCTACTACCAGTAACACACCACAGGTGTGCCAGTAACACACCACACCTTTGCCCCTCCAGTTATGACTGCTAAAAATGTCTCCAGTATCCTCATTTTTAAATAATAAATTCAACTGAGTAAATTTTAAAGATTTAATTGGCTTTATTAAATGCCTCACAAAGTGGGCAGCATCCCATCTAGCAAATAGAGGAATGTTCTGAGGAGTTATACAAAATTGAATGTTTTTATAGAAGGAAAGTGGGGCAAGAAAGTTACTAGCAAAAGGAAAGATTGTTCCTAGAAAGACGACTTTCCCTGTGGTAAAGATAAGGGGTCTTATTGTGGAGTTGCCCTCATCTACTTTTGAGGGATGTAGAGGGCCTATTGTGGAAAACTGGCACTGATTTAAAAAAAAAAAAATCCTGACTTACCAGTAAACACTACATTTCTGGGAGAGGTTGAAATTGCAGTTATTTCTTTTCTATTTTATTTTTTGTTTACAATTTATTTTCTTTTTTAAAGTAATCTCCACACCCAACATGGGACTCAAACTCATAACCCTGAGATCAAGAGTTGCATGTTCTACTGACTGAGCCAGCCAGACACCCCAAATATGCAATTAGATTGATATTAATCCCCAATTTAGGAACTCAGTCTAAGTGACATCATTTTGGGCTTGTGGTTTTCTTATTTACACCAGGGAAGCAAAATTCCCTCTCTACTCCAACCCACATCTACCTTCACAGCTTGAGAATTACTGTTTTATAAGATGCATGGGACAGTGTGCTTTACAGAAAATGGTGACTTGTCCACAAAGGATTTGTCTAAACACAAATATTCCTGAAATAAGCTATGTTAAACATCCAAGAGAGTCAAGTAGCAAAGGTTTTGCGTTTGCTTCTCCACCCTGGCAATTCGCCACAAGATATTTTTTGTTTGTTTGTTTTTGTCACTGTTGTTAAAAAGAAAATCACAAGCCCAAAATGGCGTCACTTAAGTCAAGGCCTCAAATCAGTAAACCAACAATTATTACCTACCCTAATTGTAGTTAGGTAGTACTGTACTGTAGTACTGCAGAAATGTAACTAATCAGTCAACATGGGGATTTCCTGATCAGCATTAAGAAATTTACTGATAGACCCCTTCAATTCCCCTTAGGAGGACAACCTTGCCTAAAATAATGGGTTCTTGGCCAATAATTTCCTTTTTCCACTTCCTGTCTATCTTTAAAAACCTTTCCTGGGGTGCCTGGGTGGCTCAGTTGGCGTCTAACTTCAGCTCAGGTCATGATATCATGGTTCTGTTCCATACCTGAGCTCAAGCCTCCTTCAGCGCGCAGAGGCCACCTTGGATCTTCTGCCCCACCACCACTCCTCCCTCGTGGTCTCTCTCTGTCTCTCAAAAATAAACAAACATTAAAAAAAAAAAACACCTTTCCTTTTCAATAGATCTTTGGAGCTCCCCTCTACTTTCTAGACAGGGTTCTGCCTGATTCATGAATCAATTAATAATGCCAGTTAGATTTTTAAATTTATTCTGTTGAGTTTTTGTTATTTAACAGATTTGGTAACAGCAGTGTGATTCAAAGAAAACTTCTGTCAGCATTCAGGGACAATGAAAAAAATAGGCATGCTCTCCATGAATCCTTTGAAGTCACTGTCTTTCTCACATTTCCAAGGGCTGTAAGTAAGTTCTCAGTTCTCACTTTCCACACTTTCTGCATTCCAACTCCCAAGTTGGAGTTCTTTTTACAAGGTACATCAACTTGATCTGCCAGACATATATTCCCAGAGGCAACTGAGCTTACATAAATATGGAACCCAGTTGATATGCCATATTTGCCTGGTGCCCAACTGAGCTGGCAGAGGATCTCCCCAGGGCCAACCTCTAGCCTTTTAACCCACAGTTGCCTGGGTAGAAAACCTCAGCAGATTCCATGGGGATTGGTAATGGTGCGCACATAAGGCCTTCTTGTGGCCAGGATGCACTAACATTTTGTGGTTACTGCCAATACATTAAGGTGCACATGTTTGTTTGTCTTATTTTATGTAGATAAGGGTTGTTGCTAGTGGGCATCTCAGAGACCAAAAAGCCACACAATTGGTGGGCATGAGTCGAGGACTGGAAGGCTATTAGATAATTTGCCACCTGAAGAAGACTCTTGTGATAGGATAAGTTGGTCATGGAATGGGTTAGGTTCATGCTAGTTTGCCTGCCAACTTCAAGAAAACTTCCATGCAACAAGATATACGTAAAACATGCTCAATCCTCAACCCGGTGGCACATCCCTTTTAGTTATTAGTTCAGATTTGAGAAACCCAAAGCCTTAGCTAATGGGATCCTTAAATTCTAGAGCCAGGCATGCCACCTTCCAGCACACCAATTTATTTTATGTCCAAGAACTGTAGTCTTGAAAGTTGCAGATATTTAGCAAAAACAACAAAATGTTTCTAAGCATATTTTGTGTCCTGAGAAATTTGGCTTCATAACCATCAGGTGGGGGGGGTCTCCCAAATAAAGCAGGACAGAAAAGTGAGTTGCAAAATGAACAAACCTTTTAGAATCTCTAAAATAAAGTTTCATTTGAGGCCATTAAGACAGCTGTCCAGGAAACACTATCTTCACAAAGAAGGGAATCCTCTGGAAAATGAAGTTTTTAACAGGGTTATATACTTTTTACATCTTGTAAAATCTTAAATGGCTAACATATAGGAAGGAATCACAAGCTGTAACATCAAGGAATGCAAGAATAAGAAGAATTGTCTTTAAGGACAAGCTGGTTTTCCTTGAGAATACTCATTTACAAAGCAAATATACAATACATGCTTGGAGGACTTGACTACAGTTTCAACTCCCTCAGATATGTAATCTTTAACCAGTTACCATGGAGATTTCTTGGTCAGCATTGGGAAATTTAATGATAGACACTCTCTGCTCTCCTTAGGAGGGCAACCTTGCTTACAACAATGGATTCTTTGCCAATAATTTTCTTTTTTCTACTCTTTCTCTACTTTTAAAAACCTCTTCTATAGCTTTTTGGAGTTCACCTTTACTTGATAGATGGGGTGGTGCCCAATCTATGAATAAATTTATAAAGCTAAATAGGTCTTTAAATTTTACTTGGTTGAATGCTTGTTATTTAACATTGTAAAGTGTGTTCCAAAACACCTGAGTCAGAAAAATAAGTTATGCCAATTTGCGAAATCCTCAGCCAATGGTACAGTCAAGTTTGTCATTGCTCATTCCACTTGTATGTAGTAAGGCCCTGGACACCAGATACAACAGAGAACAAAATATGCTTGTTCTCATGGACTCATTTTCTAATAGGGGAGGCAATCAAGAAACAAGTAGTATGTAATGTGTCAAAATGTGGTAAGCAGTGAGAAAAATAAAGCAAGTTAAGAAGTTAAAGGATGAGCCCTGGAAGGGTGGGGTGCTATTTTAGGTAAGATAAAGACAGTGTTTCCCAGATTGCTTTGCTTCCAAGAACCTGTGTCTCATTTGTTCCTTCATTCAACAAATGTCTAATGAATATGCACTCTGTGACAGTCATTGTTCTATCTAAGCACTGTAGTTAAAACAGTGAGGGGGAAAAATGACACATCTTGTCTTCATGGTGCTTACATTCCAGCGAGAAAAATAAACAACAAACAAGCAAGTAAAATATATGTTAGAGAATGCTATGGAGAAAAATAAAGTGGGGAAGAGGAATAGTAAATCCAGTTTTAAATAGTGTGGTCAGGGAAGGCCTCACTGAGAAG